TCATGGCTACATTGTTTCCGTAAGACCATAATTTATTCAGCAAGCCTCCCTTTAGTACTGAACATTTAAGTTCCTGGGGTTTTTTTGTAAAAAGAAATAAAATAGTTGATACTTGGAATTCAGTTAGGAGACGGATTGCCACATCTTCTCTTTTGCTCCCTCAACCCTACTACGGAGACGGTGAGGGAGCGCTCAGTGTGCGCGGTGAAGACMGTGCAGACAAAGGGAACAGGTGCACGTGTCCACACGCTGTGGAAAGGAAGGCAGCGGGACATGGCACACAGAGGCAGCCGAGGGACACTGAGACTGGGAAGTGAGACCACAAGGAGGTGGCCCAGCACGGCCCACACCCTGAGGTCTATTCGCCGGGCCCCTCATCGAGGGCTGTGGTGTACAGGACCACAGCAGGCACTGGGCAAGGACCTGAGCCTACYCCACCAACCCCAGCAGGAGTCCAAAAGCCCTAGTCAGGAACCAGAAAGATCAGCTGTCACTTGGGCCTGCCAGAGGCCGAGCTGGCTGGTTGTCCCTGGTGAGACTCTGTGTCCAGCAAGCCCACCCACCCACATCAGAACCTCATGCTTGAGACGGACCCAGAGCCTACAGGGCTCACTGCAGGGAGCAGGAAGATGCAGGCCGGATGGAGGCCAGGGCTTTGGGCGGAGCTCTGGGAAGGAACTGCACCTGCAGCTCAAAGACCAGGAGGGAGGAAGGGAGCCTGGCAGGCTGGCCCTCCCCAACAGGCGGGTGCCACGTGCTCAGAGTGCCTCAGAGCCCTCAATCCTAGACTCCTAGTGGCCCCTCGCCCCCAGCCTGCAGGGAAGCCTGAGACTTCTAAAGGCTTCCTGGGGAGAGGGAAGAAAGGCAGTCCCACCTGTGAACAGGCAGAACACCCTTCAGCCCCAGGACCATGGGGGGCTGGGGTGGGGACGCTGGTCGTGTTCCCCTCTGATCTTCGTGTTGGTCACTGGTTGCTTCTCTTGTGGGCACACACACAACCACACACCAGCCTTCCGTGTTTTCTGTGTGAGGCTCACCTCGGCAGCACTGCTGAGAGCTGACCCAGTAGACAGCGCCTGCTCTTCTGAGTGCAGACTGCCCTCCACCGGTAATTGTACACCAAGTTATACTTTCAGCCAACCTTGACGGTAGAGGAAAAGCATTTCCAGATTTGCAAAGGTGTCCATGCACCTGCTCTTGGAAGTGGCTGAAGGGTGTGCTTCAATAGCCAGTGGAGTGAAGCAGGGAGAGACGGTGCCTCAGAAGCAGGAACCGTGCCAGGCACAGGGGCCATGCCTTCATCCCGGCAACTCTGGAGGCAACCTAGTGAGACCCCATCTCCAAGTAAAAATAAAAAGGGGCTGGGGGTGTAGTACACTAGTAAAGTGCCCCTGGGTTCAGTCCCCAGTGCTGACAAACACCAGCAGGAAGAAGAGTGGGCTGCAGGGCTCCGTGGGGGAGCCCTTCCCTGCATGCTCCGGGGCCTGGGTCCATCTTTTGTACTCCATCGCAGCACAAAAAGAGTGACCCTCAGATCACTCTCAGTGGGAAGCCAGACCCAAGGCTGCAGCTGCCTGAACATACAGAACCTTCTGGAACGGCAGGCAAGTGGTGTGGATGAAACCACCCTCCAGGCGGAGACAGGCTCTGTACCTGTCAGAGCCCACGAGGCTGGGTCCACAAGTGCGCTCCCCCCYTTTTTTTTTTTTTGATATTTATTTTTTAGTTCTCGGCGGACACGACATCTTTGTTKGTATGTGGTGCTGAGGATCGAACCCGGGCCACATGCATGTCAGGAGAGCAYGCTACCGCATGAGCCACATCCCCAGCCCACACTCCCCTTTTAGTAAGTCTTTGGGCCCGTTTCTGATAGCCCCTGAGCATCCACTTTCTGAAACAGTTCTCAGGTCAGAGGACACCCTCTCTGAAGGCTTTTAAAATGTATTTGTGCCAAGTTTGTATGAATGCATTCTGGGTCCTACCTGTGCCACCCTGGGCCTAAGACCCAGTGGCCCCTGTCTGCTGTCGAGTCGGGAGCACCCAGCATTGGTAATGGCACGTGTCTTCCAGGTGCTCCGGGGGACTCCAGGGTGTGGTCACTTGCTATTCTCAGCAGGTTCGGTTTTGTGTTTGTGGGAAAGGCCACTGGAGAGGCTGAGATGTGTTCCACATCTGAACGTGGCTCAGGGATTCTCAGACATGCAGGACAGCAGGGGTACCCTGCGCCCCCCAGCTCAGACACAGACTCCCTGGGCTGCGGCAGCCTTCAGACTGATCCAAGGGTCAGCGCCATGTGAAGGCCAGACAACCACAGTCAGRGCAGGAGGGAAGCCCTGCCTGCCAGGCCAGGCTCAGACAGCCCTGTCAGGTCCTGAGGATCAGGGTCTGCTTTCAGGGAGGATGTTCCAGAAACCGCCCCCCCCCCAGCTAATCACCTCTGGAGATCCTGTGCCACCGGCTCCCACCCGCAGTCTCTCCAGCCTTACGGCTTAGGTGGCTGTGCCAGGTGGCCCAGACGCCTTCTCATGCACAGCTGAGGGTGACCAGTGGGGACTCATTGGACACACATGGGACCCAAGGGGTAGGACATCCCAGATCTCCCAGGGACACAGGGTTTGTCCCTTCTCCACCGTCATGGAATCAGAGCAGGGGCAGCCATGTTCCCAGGAAGGCTTTAGGGCAGTGTCCCTGGAGAGGGCTCAGATCCCGGGTGTACAGCCCAAGCAAGCTGCCCAGGAGGTGCAGGGCTAGGGATGCTCCAGAGTGGAGTGCACCCACACCTGTAGGTGCCATGTCTTCACCAAAGCGTCTGGAGGGTTCACACACACGGAGTCCAGATGCCTGGACGTGGGAACTCCAGAAGCCCACACTCGCCAAAAATCCATCCATGGTCATTGGACTGGGTCAGAGGGCCTTCTACAGGCAAGAGTACTGCCCCTCCCCTCCTCAGGAAGGCAAGGAACAGTTCCAGCCACGTGGAAGGACGAGATCAACCTGGAACTGCCAGGGGGGTGTGGAAGACACTGACCAGCTTATACACATTGCCCTGCGCTGGCCCGCGCCCGGCTCAGAGTGAGCTGACTGGAGCACAGAGAAGTCTGTGGGAACTTGTGGTTTTCTCTGGGCCTCTTGCAGATGACATGATCCGTCCGTGCCTGGGCCTGAATATGCAGGATGACTCCTCCCTGTCCTAGGACACATGCTTGTGGTCTGAAAGTGGAGCGGGGTGAGGTGGCATGTGCGGGGCTGGGGCTGCGGCTGTTGCTCACGCTGCTCGCTGGGGCTGCATTCGCTGGGGCTGCGCTCACTGGAGGCTGAGGCAGGAGGATCACTTGAGCCCAGGAATTATAAGCCACACAGATCCATCTCAAGACAAAAATACTGGGTTGCTGAGCCCAGACCTGGTGTGCACTAGGAGCATCTGAGCCATCCTGAGCTGAGGTCTTGCCAATGATGGAAGGCTCAGGGGCTTTACCACCCTCTGCTTAGGGTAACCCCACCAACAACAGCCTTAGAAGGTTGCTGTCTCCAGATGCTCACGGGACTGAGCCAAGCAGGGCAGGCTGCTATGGGGACTCCCTGCAGGACGGGCCCAGGACCCAGAGGTCACTGCCAAGGTTTCCTCCTTACAAGGTCACTGAGGGTATGAGGAGCCATGATTCCTCATTGTGGGTAGGACATCGGCCCTGGGTCAGATTCTGTCCAACGCATTTTCCGTGAACTGCATTAATGGACTCTTAGAGACTGTGCCAACCTTGCTTTCCTGGGATGAGTCCTTCATGTCCAATTCTTACTTTCACCTGCTGCTGAGCTCAGTTTGCTGCTCTCCTTAAAGCATCTTGCACTGGTATGGACAAACAACTCCATCCGCAGTTTTCTTATGCGGGTTGGTAAACACAGGCCAGAATGGGAGCCTGTGTTCCCTCTGCCTGTRAAGAGCTGGTATTGGCACTGAGCTGGTGGAGCTCAGCAGGGGAGCCCTCTGGGCCTGGGCCCCCCTGAGTTTGCCACTCCCCTGAGTTTAGTCTCCTCACCTGCTTCCTTCTAGGCCCATTTCTGTGGTTTGCCTTTATAGATTTCACCCATTTCTAGAATTTACCCAACTTGTGGGTACCTCCTTCCCAGCGTTGTTCYGGTCCTTTTACTCCTGCCCATATGGTAGCAATGTCCCCTCTTTTGTTTCTGATTCCAGTAGTTTGAGTTTTCGCTCTCCCCTGGTCACACTAGCTAGAAATGTGTCTCTTTAGTTGATCTCTTTAAAGAATCAGGTTTTGGATTCATTCATTCCAGCACTCATTTTTTCTTTTCTTTTTCTTTTTTTTTGGGGGGGGATTTTTTCTTTTTAAGTATGCATTTTGACCTATCTTACATACATGGAGTACAACTTCCCATTCCTGGGGTTGAGCATGATGTGGAGTGACACTGGTCATTTACTCATCCATGAACATAGGAAAGTTTCCCATTCCCAGCCTCCCGCCCTTCCAGGCACCGTGCCCTGTCCAATTTGGTGACACCCCACCCCATTGTGAGCCAGCATCCACATATCTGAGAGAACTTTTGGCTTTTGGTTTTTTGGGACTGGTTTATTTCACATAGCATGATAGTCTCCAGTTGCATCAGTTTACTGGCAAATTCCAGTGCTAGTCTTACGACCTCTTCACTTTTTGTGAATTTTATTTACTCTTCTTTACCTGGTTGCTTTTTTTTTTTTTTTTTTTTTGAGAGAGAGAGAGAGAGAGAGAGAGAGAGAATATGAATTGGATCGAACCCGGGCTGCACGCATGCCAGGCGAGGGCGCTACCGCTTGAGCCACACCCCCAGCCCCTACCTGGTTGCTTTAAGTGGAACGTTGGGTTATTAATTTGAGACCTTTCTTTCTTGTAGGCACCGCTGGCCATCATTTCAGAGGCTTTAAGTGGCTCGGGTTTTAAGTGACTTTTCAGTTTGCTGGGTCAGGCCGCAGCGAGCTCCCCCAACCTCGTGTCCCCTCTCCTCCGCAGGGTGAGTGCTCCACCAAGTGCCGCAGCCTCTTTGTACTGGAGACGGTGTGCGTGGCCTGGTTCTCCTTCGAGTTCTTGCTGCGCTCCCTGCAGGCCGAGAGCAAGTGCGCCTTCCTGCGGAGGCCGCTCAACATCATCGACATCTTGGCCATCCTGCCCTTCTACGTGTCGCTGCTGGTGGGCCTGGCGGCGGGGCCCGCGGGCAACAAGCTGCTGGAGCGAGCGGGGCTGGTGCTGCGGCTGCTGCGCGCGCTGCGCGTGCTCTACGTGATGCGCCTGGCGCGCCACTCGCTGGGGCTGCGCTCGCTGGGCCTCACGGTGCGCCGCTGCGCGCGCGAGTTCGGACTGCTGCTGCTCTTTCTTTGCGTGGCCATGGCGCTCTTCGCGCCGCTGGTGCACCTGGCTGAACGCGAACTGGGTGCGCGGCGCGACTTCTCTAGCGTGCCGGCCAGCTACTGGTGGGCAGTTATCTCCATGACCACCGTGGGCTACGGCGACATGGTGCCGCGCAGCCTGCCCGGGCAGGTGGTGGCACTGAGCAGCATCCTCAGCGGCATCTTGCTTATGGCCTTCCCAGTCACCTCCATCTTTCACACCTTCTCACGCTCCTACTCGGAGCTCAAAGAGCAGCAGCAGCGCGCTGCCAGCCCCGAGCCCGCCCTGTGCGAGGACAGCACGCACTCAGCCAGCGCCACCGAGGTCAGCTCGCAGGACCCCGAGGGCACCAGGGGTGCACCGGACCCAGCAGGGCCGCTCTGAGCTGGCAGGAGGGTACTGCTCTGGAGCTTCAGGAAGTGCAGTCGCTGGAGGTCCACCAAGGGGCCTGCAGACCTGCCAGAGCTTAGTCTAGTGCACCGACTGGCCTCGGAAAGCTTCGGGCTCCCAGTAACTCCTGGAGAGCTCACCAGCCTGGGTCCTCTTATTTTCCCTGGGGTTTTAAATTTTCTGTGGCTAACTGAATAATCCACTGGATCCCAGAAATCCCACACCTGGAGCAAATGCCAAGCTACACTGGCCTGGGCCTGACCCTGACCTGTCAGCCAGGGCAGCCCTGGCAGGAGTGGGGCAGCTGGAGACAGAAGTCCCTTCTGCTGCCTGGTCACCCGTAGTGGCAGTGCACCATGGGAGGGAGACATCCAGCACTGCCAGTCCATGTCACTTGCAGAGTGACAGGGCAGAGTCTTGAGATAGGCACTCACAGGCCCTGCTTCTCCCTAAGTAACCCTCCTTTGGTGGGGGCCCAGACCTCTGACCTGCATTCCCTGACACTGGCTCCTCAGGTGACAGGGCCTCCCCTGGCAGGTGGCAGAGCAGGTTTGCATGTGGTGTTTCAACAGCCCCCTCCACCCACCCACCATGGAGGGGCTGCATCTCCCCCCTGGATCAGAGCTCTCAAGGCCTCACAAGTAGAAAACACTCCCCACTCTCAAGTCCGGCGTAGGATGTGGTGGTATCGGGGCAAGAGGGTCAGGTGCTCCTTCAATGTTTCCTGCAGGGACACGAGTGCCAGAGCAGCCTGTCCACAAARGCATGGGCAAGTCCACTCAGGACAGGACAGAATTCTCCAGATGCCACTTTGTACTTTTTCACTGATGAGCTTGGCCACCACACCTGAGATACTGCACCCAGAGGGTCTTGGACAGCAGGGTACCCTCCTCAGGACCCCTGGGGTGAGCAGAGGTCCTGTGGGTCCCTTGGATGTTTCCTAAGATTCCACTGAAAACCAATAAAAAGTGCAGCCTCCCCGGAAAGCTCCTGGCTGAGCTCCTTGGGTGAATGTCACCTGAGTGACACTCTGGGTCTGCCCAGAGTGGGGGCCTGGGGCCCAAGGATCTCCTGGGAATCGGCAGGTGCCACAGTGGGAACCACCAGAGACACTCTGACCGCACCAGATCCCTYCACTAAGCCCAGCTGTCCAAACTCCTAGGTCCACGGCAGAGCCCAGACACATATGTGCCTGCTCTCCAGGGTAGGCTGGTTCATCTCAGAGCCAGAGAGGCCTGGGATAACCTKCTGCACCCAGGCTCTGAGGTTGGCATGGGGTGAGCCTAGCTCCCAACCCCCATCTTCCCCCCCTTGTCCCCAGCAACGTGTTGGCATGCACACAAACACCTGGGCTCCCCAGTCAAGGACAGGGGCCCTGGAAACTGAAGTAACTGTCTTCCCAGCAACCTAGCGGGTTTCCTGCAGACCAGATAGAGGCCAGCAAGCATGGGAGAGCCCTCGCTCCCTCRACTACCTTCAGGGCTCCCCACTTTCTCCTGGATTCTTGCACAAGCTTAGGGAAGAAAAGATGCCCTTATTTCCTGAGGAAATGACTGTCCGAGATGGGCCCAGCCACATGTGGCACCCTGGCCTGAGACCTGCCACCTGGCCAGTCTGAATGGTGAGGACCTGGGGCTGCTGAGCCCCTCTTCCTGTACTCTGGGCAGGCTACTCTTCTCCTCCCCACCGGGCCACATGCTATGGGGAACAGGTGTGGTGAGGACAGGAAATGCAGGGAACAGRTAAGTCCACCTGAGAGCCAGAACCTCCTCCTTCTGGCTCGTGTCCCTCGACACTTGGGGAGCCAATGCGAGGTGAACTGCCCTCACGGCAACAGGATGAAAGGGGTAGAGGGTACCTGCCAACACAGACCCAGGCAGCCTCACGCATCAGGCCTGTATTCAGCCCTCACCTCCTCCTCCAGGAACAAGACAATTCCCACTGTGCAGGGACGCTGACCTTTACCATGAGGACCCACCTCCCAGGTGGTTGTCCTGGGAGGCCAGGTAAGTAGCAGGAGAGGACCAAAGGCATCAGTAGGAGACTCCAGGACCAGGCTGGGAGCACCAGAGGCCCCCGGGTCACCAGAAAGGAGAGAGCACTGGCCAGCTCTGCTGAGAACAGTGGAGGGGGAGGGACCCAGCTGCCGCTGAGCTCTGGCCTGACCCTGGGCTCTGAAGCTGCCAGATGGCTGTCCTCACAGGAGGGCTCCGGCTGGCTCGGCGGCCCCGGCTCAGTTCCCTGCCTGTTTTCAGGGGGCGTGAATTCCCTAGATTCCCACCAGCCCCTTCCTCACATTCTGATGAACTCCACACCGGAAACACCTGCCCGGGCGTCTGGCCAGAGCAGTGGTGAGTCACCACGTCATCAGCGCACTGCTGTTAAAGTGGTAGGGACCTTTCAGGGCAGCAGCGACTCGGCTGAGCTGAGAAATGTGACTATTCCACCACCTCAAGAGCCATATTGAGACCCATTCCCACCTCTGCATGTGCTGCTGAGGAGGGCAGCAGCCAGCCACAGGACAGAGGTGGCAGGGGCCCAGTGAGGCCATCTGAATGGAGGCGGGCACTGCGCCCATGAGGCCAAGTGGGGCTGCCACACCTCAGCCTCCTCACTGCCAGAGCCAGAGCCAGCAGGTGTTGTACCTGGTGCAGACAACCCCCTCACTGCACAGGCCTCAGCTCAAAAATCAGCAGAAAGGGGGTGACCATCCAGGTGTGGTGGGAACTCTGGCTTAACTGACAGGCACCTGCACAGTTCCCCAGCACCACGACAGTGCCTCCTCCCAGGCCACCTMCCCCCCACCCATGCTGGCCCCACCCTAGGCACACAGAAGTTTGACTCAGAGCCAGCTGAGGTACATTCAATGAGCAGCCACCGAACCTGCGGTCGGTGACATTTTAATTTGGAAGCAATTACCACTACAGACATCTACCTTCATTTTTAAAAAATAAACATTTCAAAGCATCTTACAGCCACAGAGCTAAGCAAGAGCCTCACTCAGACACTGAATCTGAGGGAAGCCAGGCRGGGACTGTGCTGTGGCTTCCTGGCCAACCAGAGCGCCCCCTGCCATCACCAGCGTGGTGCTGACCACAGCCTGCCGCGGCCTCTGCATGTGGGAGTCCACAGAAGCATCCAGAACTCTCAGGGCTGGGAGTGACCAGATGGCACAGGGCTGTCAAGCACATGGCACCGGTGTGGCATGGAAAGGGGGAACATGGCGGCGGTGTCAGGCCAGCGACCCGTCAGGCAGGCACAGCAACAGTGGCAGCGGGTAGGTGGGGACAGCATGGGGAGGGGCCGCCAGCAGCCAGGACCCTCACACTGGCCTGCTGTCCGTCCTGGCAGCCACAGGTCCTGCCCGGGGTCTGCAGGGCCCCCCTCCCCAGGCTTGCCCAGGGAAGCTACTGAGCCCCACCGCCCTCCTTCCTGACCGAGCCTCTCAGGTCAGGCCAGTGCGTCTGAGAAGTTTCCTGTCAACTTGAACACGCCTGGGAGCTAGCCCTGGGTGCAAGATCCGTGCCCACTGTCCTCACGGGCAGTGCCAGACTGGCCTGTCCCCAGCCACCCCAAGCACCCACCCCTCACACAGGCTGGTGGAGAACCTGGCACCAGGTCTTCACCTCCACCCATGCCCAGCCTGCTCCTGGTGTGGCCTTGGGCCCACCCGCCCTGGCGTGGGAGCACAGGATGACTAGTGCCCACAGCCAGGATCACACAGTCTTGTCTCTGGTGCCTCAGAGGGCCTTGGCACTGGCAGGGTGTGCAGTGTGGGGGACTGGCTTCTGGGGGTGGCAGGCGAAGGCATAGGCCTGCCCCAGGATGGCCAGGTCCACCAGCACCTGCAGCAGGCCACAGACTGAGAACTGCAGGGGTGCACCATTGAGCAGGAAGTAGGCTGTCTTGAAGGTGTCCCCGCTGGTCCACATGAGCACCATCTTGAGGCTGTGGAGACACAAGAGGGAAGTCAGAGGACAGGGACACACAGGGAGGTCAGCAGTGTGATCCAGGGAATGGGGGATGTGCTGTGGCCTACTGAGGGGGACCCAGTGCAGCCTGGGGTGGGTTGGCACCATGTGGGGCCAACAGCCTGGACTGACACAGGCCCAGGGCAAAGGCCTGATCCTCATAATTGCACATATGGGTTGTGCACCAGCCAGCCTCAAAACACCAAGAGGTGGCCTGTGTACCCCTCTAAGCAGAGAGGTTAAGTAACTGCTCCAATGTCACACAGTAAGTAGGATGAGGTCCCATGAGGCTAACTCCAAAGCCTGGGAAGGACGGGGTTTAGGCAGAAGGGCGTGTAGCTGCAGCCTTGATCCCAGGATCACCTGTCCTATCCCAACCAGCTGCCGGTACCCTCACTCTGAGTGGCCCCGAATGCACAGGTATGATCCAGAGCTTGACACCATGGCTTCCTGAACCCCTCACCCCCACTCCCCAGGCCACAGCTCCTCCTGACCCACCACTGTGGGGGCAAGTGTTCAAGCCCAGCCTCCAGAGGCCCTGACACTAGCTACCCTGACACTAGGGGCTGGACCTGCTCACTGGGAGCCACAGCCACCAAGCTTGGGACCCAGGGCTTTTGATTTCAGTGCATGATTGATGGAAACGATGAATTCCACCTCTTTCTCCCACTGGGTCTCTGTGATCCTTTACCCCAGCGCCATCTGTGAGAACAAGGAGCAAGTCCACTAGTTCTGCCATCCAGGGGGTCCCCRGTGCACACCAAGCTTGGCCTCAGCACGGTGCTAAGCCCCACCCGAAGCCAGTCCCTCTGTCCCTAGACAGCAGACACTCAGCTGGCCCAGATCCCACCCAGGAGCCCTAGACAGCAGGATGCCCACCGTCMGGCTCAGCCGCCCAGGGGAACTGAAGCAGGTAGGGAGGGGACTGCCAGCTCCAGGGACCAGGCTTTCTGTCTGCAGCTCCCTCTGGTGGCTGGTGGCCAGGGGCAGCTGCAGCTCCCCAGCTACACCTCCTGGTTTCCCGTAGCCTCCCTCTTGGCTCCAGCAGGCTTCCTCCACACTGGCTGCCAGATCACCACTCCTGAAACACCCCTCACCTGATCCCGTCCCAGGGAGCCACTGGAAAGGCYCCCAGGTCTAGGAGATGAGGGCCAACTCCCAGACCTGCTCAGCTGCCTCCCTCCCACAGGCACGCCACCCATCCTGCCCCAGCGCACCAGGGACAGGCCCCACTTTCCACCAACCATTGAACCCCACCCAACGATACCCACAGAGGCAATCCCAGCCCTCCTGTCAGGTGACCCTGTGTTAGGCCAAGTTCTCTCAGAGGAGATGAAAGAAAAGGCAGGCAGCAGGGGGCGGTGGCGCAGCCTGTGATTGCAGCAGCTCTGGAGGCCGAGGTGGGAGGATTGCAAATTCAAAACCAGCCTCAGCAACTTGAGTCCCTCAGCAATTCCTTGAAACACTGTCTCTAAATGAAGTACAGAAAAAGGTCTTCGGATGTTGCTCAGTGGTTAAGCACCATTGGGTGCCAAAAAAAAAAAAAAAATCCCCAGTATGGGAAGGAAGGAAGGAAGGAAGGAAGGAAGGAAGGAAGGAAGGAAGGAAGGAAGGAAGGGAGAGCAGACACACTGCATTGCACTATATGGGTAAAATCTGCTGTGAAAGACAGCATAAAGAAAGCAAGAAGACCACCCACAGAATGGTGGGGGAAATATTTGTAAATCATACAGTTGATGAGGTTGACTATCTGGAATATATACTCTTACAATTCAGTAATAAAAACCACCACATGACCAACTTACAAAACGCAGAGAGCCAAGTAGACACTCTCCARAAAGGAAGCACCCATGCACTTGAAGAGACGTTCCACGTCAGGGCCACCATGGAAATGCAAACTGAAGCCGCAGCGACACACCCCACATGCCTGCCACGGTGGCCAGAGGCACAGACAAGGCTGGAGGGGCACGAGGACCTCACCTCACAGGGTGGCAGGGACATGAGGTGGTGCAGCCACCAGAGAGACAGGTTGGCAGTTCCCTCAGCCCTCAGTCGCCACGTGATCCAGCCCTCRCAGGCCCACCTGTCTGCCCCAGAGGGGAAAACATGAGTCCACAGGAAAACCTGCACACGGATGTTCAGGACAACTTTGTTCCAAAGAGCCTGGGTGGCTGAGCACCGGGTGCCTGTGAACTGGAGTGTGCTTAAGCCGCATGTGGCGTCTGCACAGAGAGATGTCACAGCATAGACGGCAATGGCACCGACACACCTAGGCCTCCGAGGACCCTGAAGATTGCCGCCTGAGAGGAKCCGGCACTGGACCATGCCGGGCAACGGCACAGCTCCAGAGCCACTGTCAGGAGACSGGCGTGGCTGGTGGGGCCAGCTGGGGCGGACAGACCAGCTGCCGCCTGAGGACAGTACCTAATCCTTGGACACAGTGCTCTGCTGAGGCCACTGAGGTGCACTGGATTATGGCACAGGCCAGCTCTAAAGTGTCCCAGCCCCTGGTCAGATGGCGGCCACGGGCTTTGTGTGAGGGGTCGTCAAGGGCCCTGCAGAGCACCTTCCACTCACAGCTGTCACCAAGAGCTAGGCGGAGGTCTGAGGATGAGGTAGAGGTGGTCTAGGGGGAAATGTTCTACTTCCCCAAAGGCTGCAGATCCAAGTGGTCTGCTCAGGAGACCAAGACGAGGCCCATGTGAGATCAGACACAGAATCCAGCTTCTGGGTGCCTGCAGCTCAATGGCGAGAGCCCAGAGTCCTGCTGGATTCGGCAGAGTGGCCAGATGAACAGCATGGCCGTGGAGGGTGACCTGCACCTGCTGCCTCTGGTCTCCTTCTCCTCACATAGCCTCCATGGTCACTAACTGTGGCCCTGCAATGGGCACCTGCACCTCCCTCCAGCCTGCACCATCTCTACCTCCAGGCTCTGCGCTCGAATGCCTGGATGCCTTCCCCACACAGCCCTTTCCATTCTTCAATAATAACCCGTTCCTCTGTTGAAGGTCTTGGAATGCTCAGCCCCCTCTTATCTCTTACAAAATCCCACTCCCACTCCAATAATTACTTGTTAGGGAACAGTCTTCAAATCTCATAAAAACTGGAGGAAGACAAATGCAAATAATATCCCCACAGAATCTGCCTTTCAGGTTGCTGCACTAATTAGTAACGTCTTTTCAAAGGCTCATCATTTCCTATAATTGGCACTGAACCCACAATATCTTCATATTTTTCAAAAGGAAAAACATTATTCAAAAAAACTCTAGCAGTTGCTCCATGATATACAAAGTATGTACAAGTCTGTGTGTGCATGTGGGTAAGACCATGTCTCCAGACGCACTCCTGCATGTGCATTCCTCTCTGCACACATGTGGTATGGGTGCCTTTGTGCATGTATTCACATGAGGGTACATGTGTACACACACATCATAAACGTGTGAGTCTAGGTGCACGCTGTGTGCCAGCGTGTGGCCATGTGTGCACACCCATGTGGACACATGCATTCCCACGAGGCAGGAACTTCTAGAAGACCTGCTACAAGGCTGCTCACTTGAGGATGCCCAAATTAGTCGGTTCAAACATGAATTCAAAGTCATCCTTAAGCATCCTGGTGATCTTTGTTTTTTTGTTGTTGCTGTTTTTGTTGTAATGGTGGTGCTGGGGATGGAACCCAGGGACTTGTGCATGCAAGGCAAGCACTCTATCAACTGATAGAGTGATCCCCAGCCCTATCCTGGTGATCTTCAGGTGGACTTGAGGCAGAGGTTGTGATGTGGTCCCAGGGGCCTCCACATTTCCCTAGGCCACAGCAGTGGTGCTAGGAGGCCCTCAGAAAAGGAGGCCAGGGCTGGGGTTGTGGCTCAGAGGTAGAGCGCTCGCCTAGCATACATGAGGCACTGGGTTCAAACCTCACCACCACATGAAAATGAAATAAAGAAATTGTGTCCACCTACAACTAAAAAATAAATATTAAAAAAGAAAGAAAGAAAGAAAGAAAGAAAGAAAGAAAGAAAGAAAGAAAGAAAGAAAAGTAGGCCAAAGTCTACACTGCCTCGCTGCTGGCCACCAAGCAGTCTGTGTATCCAGAAGTGATCACAGGTGCACATTCAAACACATCTTGGTGGCCCGAGGCTGGGAGTGTCTGCTCTCTAGCTCACATTCAGGAGTTCCTCCACATCGCCCCGTGTGGAGCAGGGCAGGGTGCACAGGAACCTGAGGCTTCTGGGCAGGCAATCCAATGAGTGTCCGGGGTGCACAGAGAGGACATGTCTGAGCACATCCAGGAACCAACAGAACCCAGGACGGGCCACAGGGCATGGACGCCAGGCCCAACCTGGACTGGGTGTGGCCCACAAAGAGACCCCAGGAGACCACACAGTGGGAGGGGTGTGAAGCTGAGGACCACAGGAGGCTTCCAGCACTGCTGCACCAGAGCCCAAGGGAGCTAGGGCCTGTGCAAGCAAAGGACTCGTGTCCTGCCTCGGAGGAGCCTCCGCGCACTGCCCTCTCCAGTGCCACACCTGCGTCCCTCTGCCGAAACGGGGAGCTCCCTGGCACCCAACGCGGGGCTCAGGACCATTTTGGATTCAGAGGAAAAGCCACCAGAATTGACTCTTGGGTGACATAAGACCTCAGCCACCAAGGTGGACAACACATCTGAGCAGCAGCAACCATGGTCTCTGCGTTCCTGGGTCAAGGAGAGAACATGCCCCCATCTGACCACAGGTCCTGTGTCCAGGTGCCCACCCTCATCTGCTGAAGTGGCCCAGCACAGGCTGAGTGTCTGTGTCCCTTCAGTGCCTGCTGAAGCTGGCCTAGGAGATGGACAGTGTAAGAACTGGGGACTCCCCTTCCAGGTCAGAGGCACAGGAAGAGCTGACCTTGTGGGCCTGGGCTGTGATCCTGACAGCTGGTCTCTGCAAACTTGGACTTGGGGAGGGATTCCACCGTCTGCACTTGCTAAGGCAGCCCCAAGGCAGCCCACATGGCCCACACAGGACAAAGACCTTCCTCCAGGGAGTCGAACACTGGCCAGGGGAGCAGCCCTCTGAGTGAACCTCACTGGGCAGTGCCCAGATCCAGTCCAGCATGCTCCTGGCAGGGAGATCACTCCATGAGACCCTCCACAGGGTGCAGGGGGCAACCTGGGGCCTCCCACCCTCCACACATGGCTGCTATCATCCTTCGCTGAGTGCTGCCTTCACACGATCCCAGGAGATGCAGCCCGGAACACACAGATGAGGCCCCCTGAGAAGTGAGCCCAGACCCAACCCCACAGCCACTTGCCATGAGCCCCATGTGTATACCCAGAGTGGGCACACCCACTCTGCACGCCTCCTTCCTCCCATCTGGCTCCTGGGGGTGGCATCACCCCTGACCAGAGCCTTGGGTCCTCATGGTCCCAGCCCCACGGTGAGGAAGCCTCCCGGCCAACCTGTGGCTCCAGCTACCCCAGCAGTCTGGATTCGCGGTGGTCACATGGGCCAACCTGGCCCCTCCAAAACTTTGCAGCAGGCCAGAGCCCAGATCTGCACTAACACCCCTCAGGCCTGAGCACACCTGCACCCCCCACCAGGCCGCCCCTCCATCTGTGCACCAGGCCGCACCTCCATCCCAGCCTGGGCCACTCCTTAAACCTGGAACTCCAGCTCTGAGAAGGGAACTTCCAAGAGCCCTGAGACACGCCCGGCACATCCAGGGAAGATCCACTTGGTTCCCCTTCCACCAATTCTGTTTTCTCAGAAATAAAATAGATCTGATGGTGAGAAATACCTGAGCCAGAGTGGGGACTGGGGCGTCTTCAGTGAGGAGTGGGCAGGGTCTCCAAAGAAGGCCTGGGGCGGGGTCCTCCGGGAAGACCAGGTGCTGAGCTACTCAGCAAGCTGCGTCCTCGCCCCTCCCCACCAGGTGATGTGTTTCCGACAAACTGCTTTGTTCCAGAGCCTCCAGTGAACACGGGGGGATTGCCCGGAGCTCGCCAGGTACCCACCCCCATGCTACCATCACCTGGGGTCTGTGGGTCACATGGGCCTTGTCCTGCCAGGTGCAGGCAGCATCCTCAGTCTAGCCCTGTCTGACAACAGATCCTTCACCTCCGCCTGGAGATCACAGCAGGAGGCAACGCGCCACTGAGGGTCATCTGCCCTGACTACCTGCTTGCTCTGTGGGCAGGGTCTGTCCTGCCCATCCTGTGCCATTGGCACCTGCCACTCCAGCTCTCCACAGCCTAGGAGAGTTCTTCTTCCCCTGACAGACGGTCACTTCCCCCAGCCTGCCACCTGAAATACCTGCTCAGAACAGCCAAGACCCCTGTGTTCAATGCCCCCCATGCCCATCTGCAGCTCACGGTGCCACAGACACTCCGCACGTGCCCCTACCTCATGCCCTCTGTGGAGCGGTGGCAGTAGTTGCGGTACAGCTGTGGCACRCCCAGCATGGCCTCGGTCAGCACTGCAAGGAAGCCCAGCGTCTCCACAAACAGGGCCGAATCGATGGACAGGTAGGTGACATAGCCYGCCACACCAGTGAAGGCCAGGACACACTGCACATAGTCCCCGAAGCTGCTCCAACGCCAGAAGTGGTGTGGGTCAAAATCTAGGGCAAGAGGGAGAGAGCTACTCAGCCAGGTGAGCAGGACGGGGCAAGTAAGGARGGAGACGGGAGCTGAGCCGGCCAGGTCCAAGTCCGCAGGGGAACAGGAACCAGGTGACAGGCTGGGGACAGGTACCTGAGCAGGTCAGGGTTYCTGTGGGGAAAGGCAGACTACAGGTGCTCCTGAGGAAGCTACTCCTGGTGGAGCCTTGGCCATGTTCAGGATGCACCTGCACCTCCTGGGTGGCTCCTGGCATAGGAGGCTTGTAGGAATCGGCTTTAGGCAGGCAGGTAGGTCCCCAGGCCCACCCTGGGCACACAGGAGGGACACACCAACGTGGGTGGGGGCTGGGGCCACTCCTACCTCCCCCAGCATTCCCACACTCCCCTGAACAGGGGCACCTGAACAGAGGCCAGCTAGGGTGGGCCTCCACCTCCACAGGGCACAGCCTTCCCAGGCTCAGGGTAGGGACCTATCCATTTTCTTAAATCATGAACATCACAGTCTAAAGGGGGAGGAGGTTGCTGGTCCCTGCAGAGCAGCTCTGACCAGCTACAGAGGGCCTTGGTGTTCCCCACCCCTCCTGCCTCTGCACAGGGCGTCCTGTGGGACCCAGAGGGCTGGGTGGGCAGTCCTGCAGGTATCCCCACAGCCCACAGCTCTGCAGGTCTGCAACTGGCAGGTAGTTCTCTAAATGGAAGACTGCATCTGCCCACTCAAAGAAGAGAGAGGCAGAGACCCTGCCKCTCAACCGTGGGGAGCAGTCAGGACCCAGGTCCAGGCAGGAATCCGACCCTCACAAGTGGTCGCCTGCAGCTGGGCCCTGGGGCCAGGCACCAGCAGTGACACCTAACAGCGTGACAGCGCAATTTTCCAACGGGCAACCAGAGTCGGCGGCAGTCCTGCGGCGGTCGACGGGCGCCCTCGTGCGGCGGGTCCAGGCCACGTCGGGCAGAGGCCTCCTCATGGCCCTGGGAGCAGCTAGTGGAGGACAGGATGAGGGGTTCTCCCCTCAGCCCCTGCTGCAGGGCAGCGGCGCGGTGTTCAGAGGCCAAAAGCCACTGGAAAGAGTGGAGGGACCCGCGCGTACAGCCTGGCTGCCGCACCACTTGGGGCTGTGTGCGCAGCGGATCCCGCGCTCCAGGCATGGAGGCTCTGGAGAAGGGGTCCTGCCAGAGCTCCCAACCCCCATCCCACAGGCGCCCCGAAGCCGGGAGGCTGGTGCCATCTAAGGGGCTATCTGGCACGAGGCGACCGGTACCAGGCCCCAGCATGAAGTGCACCCCCCCACATACACACCCTGCAGGCGGGCTGCTGGGGAAGATGGAGCTGGCTCAGGGCAGGGCATCCTGCTGAACAGCATGACCACAGCAGCTTCACCTGGCCAGCAGTGTCCCTCTGAACAAGCACATGTTCCTTTCCATTTCCAAAGCACCCAAACCCTGCAGCACACAGGGGGCCCTGGCCAGACACAGTAACCCACATCCCTCCTAGCACTGCATGACCCTATCTATATCTATATGCAGTGGATTTGAGACAGCAAGAGTCCCCCCCCACACACACTGCAACTCTCTCAATCCCTGAATCCTGGGATGCATGGGGAGAGAAACTCTCCACTGAGCCACAGAGAGACCTGACAGCCAGCTCCATCCCRCTGAGCACAGCACTGAGCAAGACTACCTGGGGCAGCTGTGGGGACACTCCCTACACCTCACTGAGGAGGAGCTGCAGGACACTCTAAGGAGAAAACATCATGCAGCCACCAGGCTACATCCCAGTAACCCCGAAGCCACCTGTCACAGTGTCCCAGACCCTGCTGGCAATGGACCATAACAGCCTGCCTTCTGGCTGGCAGCCTGGCGCAAGAGCATCCCCTCCTCCTTTAGTATCTTTAAACCAACCAGGAGCAATCAGGTGCGTGATTCTCTCAGCCGCTAGCTGGTGACAGACAACACAGCAAGAGGACAGAGCTCTGCAGAGGAGATCTCGCAGCCTCACTCCAGTCAGAGCAGAACTGAATAGGGGCCAAGCGGGCTTCCTACCTAGACCCTGCCAGCCCCCAAATTGCTTTCTGAAGGGGCAGTAGGGAGGGCAAGGCAACCAGGAACCACAGGAACACTCCGTGTTTCCAAACCCAAGACCCTTTCCAGACAGCTCTGAAGGAGCAGTTCCCTCTGGTCCCAGGGTCCAATAGCACGTGGCACCTGGAGGCGGCACACCTGCTCCTGAGACCCAGCGGGGAAGGGGTGGGAGCTTGATCCTGTCCGAGCTGATCCCACACAGAAGCCAGGCCTGCCCCCACACCCTTCCTGATCTCTTCTCACCTCCTTTCTTTCCTTTGCCACCCTGTCCCCATCCGAAGTCACTGCTTCCCCAGCTGGCCTCAAACACCTAGGCTCAAGCTTCCTCCTGCCTCCCCCTYCCCCTCCATCTGGTTTCTTCTAACTTTTTTAATTCGCTGATAGAAACTCCTAAAGTCTGTGAGTGACCTCCATGACAGCTGGGTTGTTCCACGCTCCACAGGGAAGTGCTGCGTGGCCTCTGCAGGTCATCTGAGGCCCCAGGCCAGAAGCCAGAGTCAACACAGCCCCGGGGGAAGCCAGCAGCCTGCCCAGATGGGCGGGCCCCCACCCAGCCTGAGGACCAGATGTGAAGAGAGCTCCCCAACTAGGGGAGACCCATGAAGGACACCCTCCAGGGACCCACCACACAGCAGTCTTCTCAAGCCCAATGAGCCAAAGTTAGAAAAGGCAGGAGCTGACCAGGGTCCTGGCCTGCCAGGAGACAAGAATACATGGCGCGGGCTGGGGTCGTGGCTCAGTGGCAGAGTGCTTGCCTTGCACATGTGAGGCACTGGTTTTCCATCCTCAGCACCACATAAAAATAAATAAACAAAATACAGACATTGCCTCCATCTATAACTAAAAATTATTTTTRAAAAATACAGGGTGCTCTGACGGGCCCTCTCCTGAGACACCAGGTCTCCTGACAGAGGTCAACAGGAATTTCCCTGTGCTTAGGAAATAATTATTTTCAAATAGTTAAAAAAAAGGGGGGGGTATTACCATGTTAACCTATTTCAATAGTTTTAAAATAAAAACCAGTTCTCAGGGAGAAACCCATCAAAGAGCTCCCCTTGCTTCCCCACCTGGTCAGACAGGCACATGGCCTTGCTCCAGCTGCCCCAYGGTGTCTCCCTTTGACTCCAGCTGAGCAGGGACAGAGCTGTAGGGTCAGCTCTGCCCACAGCCACCACTTAGGCCCCTGCGGCCACAGCCCAGTGAGAATGGTGGACTTGGCCCAAGCATGGGTGGTACAGGGCTCGGGCACAGAGGCCTCACCTGGAGGGACTTTGAGGGATGTGGGGCCTGAGCCTTGCAWGGGACAGTGCCAGGTCAAGTATAGCCAGAGAGTCCAATGCAGACAGCAGCAGGACCTGCTGCAAAAGGGGCAGAAATGGCCTGCTGGCCTCCTGTGTCCATGATCCCGAGCCAGCACCAGCCTCTCCTGCAGCAGACATGGGAAGGACAGAGATGTAGACTTGCCATTCCCAGTGATGGACTCCAAGTGACCAGGGGCTGGCACTGCCCATGTTGAACCACCATGGCGGCTCCAGAGAAGACCCAGGACCAAGAGCTTTCAGGCCCCAGGTCAGACAGGACATGGCAACTGCCAAGCCGCGCGCTAGCCCCAATCTACAGCTGCACAAATGAGRGGGCCTCTGAAGACTGCCACTGAGGCTGCACGTCACTGTGAGGAAGAGCCAGGGACCGAAAGAGGAGACCCCTCTCAGGCTGCAGTGATCTGGTGCCTTCTGTGGCCTCTCACTTCAGGAGCCTTTCCCTCTTTCTCCTYGTCCCCACCCTGTCCCGTCCTGGCACCTTTGCCCTGCAGAGCCAGCTGGTGCCAYCCCAGCCGATGGGCCACAGTCTGAGCAGTGCTGCCTGAGCAGCATGCTGTCGTGCAGCAGAAATGACCCCAGGAGGCCAGCCAGGCCTTGGGGCTGCCCACTTCTACCGCAGAACTTGGAATGGTGCCCAAGCTGCCCAACACAAACCACCACAGAACCTCAAGCTGCTAAGATCATCCCTGCTGCCACAGTGGACCAGAAGGCTAGCGTGTCTCTGACCTGGCTGAGACTCCTTCCTAATTCTGGCTCCCAGGGTTTCAGGTTAAAGATAGCAGTCTAGTGGGCACCACCAGAACAGCACACACACCACGGCTGCTAAGTGCGACAGGCAGCCACACAGGAGGTCTCTGGACATCAGCACATGCAGACGTTCCCCAGAGAACCTTCTAAATGGTGGTGGGATGCTGAGAGCCATAGCCAAGTGGGAATGATGCATGGCAATTTCCTGGTCAGCCTACCCCATGTTGCTTAGAGGGAGGACTCTCCATTGTGGAAATGGGCTGGCCTTGGACCCAGTGAAAGGGTAAAGTTTCTAAGCTGCAAAGCCTGAGTTAAAATGTAAAGGACTAGGTATTGTAAAGTTTCTGAACTGCACACAGAACCTGAAATTCCTGAGGCAGTTAAGACAATGCCCGGTGCTGACCATTTAGTTGTTAAATAACCTGGACCCTGTGCAATTTGGCACGTAGGCATTCAGGGCCCAAACCAATCAGTTTGAATGTATCCCCTCCTTAGGACTGACCTATCACTCCCGCCAACCTGTTCCCGCCAATGAATGTACTAATCATGTTTGAGAATTGTCGTTTGATTTTCCCGCGGTGTATGGTGATTTGTTAAAGGAGACTGTGATGTATGTAAAGTCCCTGCACTCCCTAAAAAAGTGTACTTAAGCACGGCTCAACCCCTGCTCGGGGCTCTGGGCCGTTCTCCCTTCTCGAGTGGGCACTGAGCCCCAGCGCGCTGGATCTGCAATAAACCCCTTTTGCTGTTGCATGAGTTGGTCTCTTGGTGGTCACTTCCTCCGACGTTCGCCGGACCCTTACACCAGGTCATCTGCAGTGACATGGCATGAATGTTTGAGAGTTTTGTCTTGAAAAATGACCTTGCTCAGGGATTAGGGCAGATCCGGGTTTAGGGTGGATCCGGGTTTAGGGAGGATCCTGCTGGGAAKAGGGCGTATCCTGCTGCCTCAGGCGCCTGCTCCTTGAGTTCCCATTGAGAGTATTTGGTACGCAGAGCCCTGTGGAGGGCGTATTTTCCCCAGAACGTGCGTGTAGAGTGCCAGTGAGAGTTCGGGAATAAAGAATTGCTGTTTGAATCTACAAGGCTTTTGTGGTGGCTCGGTCATTTTATGCCCAGCCAGACTGCGGCAGAGGGAAGAGCTGTGTGCCTTGGGCTTTGACGTGCGCCCCACCCCATGYCCGTGTACCAAAGCACCACTCCAGGTGTCCAGCCAAGATAGCAGGCTCCCTCTACCCCATCACCTGCACAGGGCAATGGCTGCCAAGAGCAGCAGCAGCCCTTCTGCTACTGCCTCTCAGCCCCGCTCACAGGGCAGAAAAACTGAGCACCCATCCTGGCCTTGACTTGCTCATAGGGTTCATACCAGGATGTGCAGGCCAAAAAGACCAGAGGGCCCCCAGGTGTTCTGAGGRTAGGGGTCATCTCAGGAACTCACCACTGCCCTGGCCAGCTCCACAGCAGGGGTGTAAGATTCTGCCCCAAGAGCAGGGTAGCCTGGGAACCAGGAGGGTCTGCATGGCAAGCAWGAGAAAGGAGGCCCTAGAACCAGCTCAGTTTACCACACAGACCAGGAGAGGCACAGCCAGAAAGAGCCCTCCCAGGACAGAGCAATCCTCAAAGACTAGCCTGAAGCACAGCAGCACCTGCCCAGTTACCACCCAAATCAACCTTGCAATGGCTGCAGTAGGAGGAGTGCAGCGCCCCTGGGGAGCCCATGCACACAGCAGACCTACAGGAGGACTCAGAGGCCCATCCCCCAACCAGAGGACAGCCAGCAATCTCCCGGCCCGGGTCAGTGTCCACAACTGCCCCAATGTCTACCTAAAGTGTCCATCTGCAACAATCCAAAATAGAGATACCCAAAGGAACAGGAAAAGGTAGCCTGCACAGAGGGCAGAGAGCAGCAGCAAAGCAGGACCCACAGCCTTGGGGGAGGCATTGGACTCTGCAGGAAAAAAAAAAAAAAAAAAAAAGCCTCAAGACAGTCTCGGCAGATGTGCACAGAACCCAAGGAGACTGCAGCAACGTGAAGAGTTAAAGGGCACTCGGTGATGGCACCCAACAACAGCATCAATAAAGGGGTAGAAAGGGTGAGGAGAACCAGTGGGAATCCAGGTGAAGCACACACACAGAGGCTCTCGGCCAGCACCAGGCAGCAGGCGGAGCTGGTGCAAGAGCATGACCTTAAAGACAGATCACTGGGGGCTGSAGCTGTGGCTCAGAGGTGGAGCACTCGCCTAGCATGTGTGGGGCCCTGGGTTCGAACCACAGCACCACATAAAAAATAAATAAATAAAATAAAAATGATATTGTGGGCTGGGGATGTGGCTCCAGCGGTAGCGCGCTCGCCTGGCATGCACGCGGTCCGGGCTCGATCCTCAGCACCACATACAAAACAAAGATGTTGTGTCCGCCAAAAACTGAAAGATAAATATTAAAAAGAACATTCTCTCTCTCTCTCTCTCTCAAAAAAAAAAATGATATTGTGTCCAACTAAAATATTAAAAAAAAAAAGACAGATCACTGAAGATGACATAGCCCAAAGCATGAGACAGAGGAAGAGTGGCAGTCCTGCACATACGACAGGCATGCTGCTGGGAGGAGAGGAGCAGCCAAGGAGAGAACACTGGCCTGCACACCCCGACAGACCCAGACAGCCACACCCACACTTCGGTCTCAATGCTGACACTCAGTAAAAACCCAGGGTCCTGAAAACAGAACAGGGAAGTGGAGTCCCTGAGAGGGCACCAATGAGAGTCACCACAGGCTTCGCAGCAGCAGCAGCAGCAGCAGTGCCCAGGCAGCTGGCAGGGCACCAGAAAGAAGGCATCATCAACCACGGTCTGCACTGCAAAACCCCTGTGCTTAAAGGAGGGCAAGATAAAACCAGAGAATGAAGAGAACAAAATCCCCAGAGGACAGGGAGGGGACTGTCTGTTGTCAACAGACCTACCTGCAGGGAAGGAAAGCCTATGAAGCACATAGTGAGAGCCAGCACCCACAATCCTGCCAGAAGGTAATTCCACAGGTTGCCCCAAAGACAAGCACAGGCTACTGCTTTCCTCCCACGGCTCAAGAGCAGCTGTAGAAAAGAACCTGAACTTGTGATTTGCAGACACATGAGGTCCTCGACACCAGCACCCAAGGTGGGCAGCTGGAGTGTTCTGGAAAGATGACTGAGGCAGTCACTCTAACAGTGAGGACCAGGAAGAGGCAGAGCAACTAGGGCTGACACAGAAGACCAACAAYTGCTCTCTCTCTTCCCTCATACCTCCATGTCTGAGGACGTGCAGCCACATAAAGCAGCAGTCAGAACACTGCACCATTAGGTGTGTGACCTACCTGGACACAATGTGTAGCCTCATCTCCCACAGAGGGAGKAACTGCACAGGAGCAAAGTTTTTGTATCTCATTAAAATTAGTCTGGGCTATGAAGCAGATTCTGGAGATTTAAAATGCATACTGCAATCCTCAGAGCAACTACCAAGAAAGTAACTCTCACATGTAGCTAAAAATCACTAAAGGAATTAAAATGTTACATGAGAATTAAAATGTTACAAAAGAAACTGCAAACACCCAGGCACTTCAAAGGCAGAAGGAAAACTGCAGACATGAATTCAAACATCAACCTGTGTGTGTGAGTCAAATAAGCAATCAGAATGCCAAAATAAACTTCCTAAAGACCTATGTGCTGTCTACAGAGGATGCCCTTTAGATTCAGATACAAAAACTTGTAAAAGAACAGAAAAAGATACACGACTCAAATAGCAAACACAGACCCATGGCTCCACTAATACCAGAGTAGGCTTGAAACAAAAGCACTACTAGAGACAGGGTCATTCTCCATGGAGACACAGCACCTACCAAGCACACCCCACCAGCACACCCCAGAACACACCAGGAAAACCACAAGGGAAAGGAAGGAAGACAACTCAAACAGCTGGAGACTTTGTATCAGCTCCGTAACACTTAGGTGAAGAACYACAAAGAGACCCGAGCCTGCACCTGGCCGAGCACACCCTCCCAAGCCAGCCTGGACTGCTCTCCAGAAGAGACCCGACAGCGCMTGGCAGCACAGGATGGTCTACAAATGCCACAGAATGAAGGCAACGTCCAAAAGAAACTCAGGAAATTCACAAACAGGTGGAAGTTGCAGATGCTCATAAACACACAGGTCACAGGAGAAATCTGTAAGGAAATGGGAATCACTGAAATCACTCGCTAAAATCACTCAWATGAATCTCCACCAGGAGAGACCTGGGGAATGGACAGAATCCCGCAGGGGAGCAGCACTCCTACAGTGGGGAAACCAAGGGAATGGACAGATACTGGCACAGACAAGCAACTGTCATTGCTGCAGGAAGAAACAAAGCAGGCCTGCATGTATCAGAGTGCGAGTTCATCATTCAGATCTTCCCGGGAGAAACCCCGATGCCCAGATGACTACTCGATGCAAATCCTTCTCAAACTCATGTAAGGAACAGARTAGAGGGAACTCCTCCCAACTCACGTCCTATAGTCATTATTACCCTGAGTCCCAAGTCTTAGCCACAAAACTGCACTCTCACATCTTTATGACATGGACACAAGATACCCTCCCACCTAGAGCAAACAGCACCTGGCAACACACAGAAGCATTTAACACACCACCAGGAATTTAAGAGTGGCTCAGCACACAAAGTCAGCCAATGGTCTCCACATCATCAGAGGAAAAGCCAAGGCCACGTGGCCACTCCACAGTTTCAGCCAAGCACCTGCAAACCTTTAACACCACTCTAGAAGAACGAAGGCCTCACAAGCCCCAGAGCAGGATGGGGTGTCCACTCATACCAGGTCCAGCCAAGCAGTCCAGCAGGAAATGAAAAATAGCCARATCAGGAAAAAAGATGCAGTCTGTGTTCACAGATGACAGGATCACAGCGAATCCTAAGCAATCCACTGAAGATCAGCTAGGGTGAGCAGACGTCAGCAAAGCCGCACAACACAAGGTTATGTAAGACTCAGTTCCACCAAGCAGCAGTGAAGGGTGCTGGATGGAAAGAAGGAGACACTGGCCTCTTCCTCCCTCCCTCCTTCCTTCCTTCCATCATCTCTCCTTCCTTCCTTTCCTTCCTTCCCACCTTCCATCCTCCTGCTTTCCCTCCCTCCTTCCTTCCTTCCATCCTTCTCTCCTTCTTTCCTTTCCCTCATTCCCTCCTTCCTTACCTTCCTTCCTTCTTTCCACCTTCTTCCTCCCTCCCTCCATCTCCTCCTCCCCATTCAGAAAATAGATGGGCTTCTAAGGAAGAAGGGTTCATGCTTGGGACAGCAGAGCCAGGGGTTTGTTAGCTCAGGAGACACAGCATGCACCGTGGGAGGAAGCACAGAGGAAGAACTGGCAGACAAAGCTGAGAAGTGACAGGGACGCACATGGGGGCATCCTCATGCAGCGTACATACCCAGATAGGACCGCCTGGGCGGGGCTTTGGGCTCTTCATCCCTGCTGTCTCCAGCTTCATTCAAAAAGAGGGAAGAACAAAGATGGAGGGAAGGGAGGAAAGAAGGAAGGAAGGAAAGAAAGAAAGAGAAAGACAAAAACAGACTGGTTTTAACACTGCAGACTGCGGTTCCCAGCCCTTTGTGTATTTCTTGAACACACACACACACACACACACACACTGGAACAGAAGGACTGTAAGAATTCCATTTCTGTGCTTTGGAAATTCACTTTCTAAACCATTCTCCAAGCCTACCCTTTCCCATTATCCTAAGGAAGTGAACAGAGACTCCATCGCCCCCTTGTCACTGTCTCTAAAATCAGGCAGCATGGAGCTTCCATGGTGCCCCAGGGGCAGCCACAGGGCCAACTCCACCCAGTCCCCGGCCAGCAGTGTGCCAGCTGCACCCACAGGCTCCTTGATAGCATAGCTTTGGGACACATGCAGTAACCTGTCCACCACCAAAGGACAGCTGACTCGACATAAAAGAGACAGGCCACAGTACAGAGATAGCCGGGGCTCCCAAGGTCAGTCATGGTCAATCCTCCTGCTGCACTGCCCTCCATGGCCAGGATGCCAGACAAGCTCAGCAAAGCCTCATGTGGTCCTGGAGGGAAGCAGCTGGACAGAGGGTGTTAGGAGCTGAGCTCCTGCCCCACCATGGTGAACGACACCTTAAAGTCAGCTGTCACAACAAACAGGTGAATGCAAACACAGAGGAGCCCCATGGCCTAGATGCAATGCCACTCTGCTCACAACCCAAGGGCAGCACACCCAGGCAGCTTTCCCACCTGTCACTACCCAGCACCATGGACTTGGCCAATTCACTGCCCACGGGCACCTCTTCTAAAGATCAGATCCACTGAAAGGGGAAGGGAGAGAACATGCTGGGACATTCTGGCATAAAACATACCCAGAGTAAGAGCCCAGGGGTGGAAGACAGATCCAGGACATAGAAAACACCCACCCTGGATTCCCCTGGACACTCCTGCACCACCCAACGTTTCCCACCTGGAAAGCCAGATGGTCAGAGCCACCACACTTGAGAACATCTGCAGGACAGATGGGAGCAGTGTCCAAGGCTGACTCCAGGGAATATTTCCAGAACCCTGTACTCCATGCTGAGCAGGGCTCTAGTAGGCACCAGGACCCTGATGTGGCTGGCAGCATGTCTGCCCACAGCTTCCCCAGACCCTCAAGGTCCTTGCCAGGTGGAGAGGTACACTGGCTCCAGGCCATGGAAGCGGATTGTYGACTTCCAAGACTAGGTCCCAAGGAAGAAGCAGCTCGCCCTGGGAACCAGAAGCCATGCTGTGAGGGAAATCAGGCCTGTGAGGAGTCACAGTGGGTGTGCCAGCCAGGGCCCGGGTGACACCAGGCGAGAGAGGGAGAAGGGAGTGAGGAGGGGCACCTGCAAGTCAGTGAGCTCAGCTTCCRGCCTCAGCCTCCAGGCCTCCCTAGCTGATACTAAGGACAACGGGCACAAGCTGTAGGGAMAAGCTCCACCTTGACTGTCCCTTCGAGTCCTCAGTTTGGAGTAACAGACAGCAGGGCACCAGGTGATGAGGCTGAAGCTCAGGGTGGGCTGGAACCGGGTAACCTGCAGCACAGGCAGAAAGTCATCAGGAGAGAGTCATTGGGCTAGCACATGCACACAGGGAGGGGACAGTGGCAGCAGGTGGGACCAGGGAGGTGAGGACTGATGAGCCTTGTCCCAGGGAGCCCGAGCCAGACAGAGGGCACCTTCCCACACCCCCCTTCAGTCCCAATACTGCTGCTCTGAGCACACGCACAGACGGAATGACCACCCAGAGGCCCCACCACACACAGGTACTTCTCCCCTCAACAACCAGCTCCTCCCTGGAGCTCTGAGTGCTAAGATCTGGGGAAATGTCAGATAATCGAATCACCTGACTTCAGGCCACAATTTTGTTATTCAAATAACTCCTATGACAAATTTAAAAGGAAAAAATACATTATAAACAAAGTTAATTTTTTTAAAAGCAGTCTCACATGATGGTCATGCCTGCAATCTCAGGGACTCAGGAGGCTGAGGCAGGAAGATTGCAAGTTCAAGGCCAGCCTCAGCAACTTAGTGAGACCCTAAGCAACTTAGTGAGACCCTGTCTCAAAAAGGGTTGGGGATGTGGCTCAGTGGTTAAGTGTCCCTGGGTTCAACCCCTGGTTCAAATAAATAAATAAATAAAATGACTGAAGTCAGCTCCACTGTGTCAGCCAGCAGTATGCCCACAAGGAGGCATCATTCTCACAACACCCATCCCTGGGGGTGGCACTCTAAGTAGGTGCAATTCTGAGCCTACAGCCCCTCCAGCCTATTCCAGCAAATGTCTTGCTGGAAGCAGCCTCAGGTGATGGCAAGCAGTGGGCCAAAGATGGTGGTGATCTGTGCTGTCACTCCTACGGCTCCCAAGTCATGGGGGTGACGTGGGTGGGGGGCCAGGGCCATGACGGAAGAGACCCAGTCAACCCCAGGTCTGGGGCTGACAGGCAGAACCATGTGCAGCCAGGAAGCATTTCATCTCATAGGAAACAGCCCCACTTCCACCCCAAAACACCAAACAGCCATCAGACCCTACCACCAGCCCTGCAGACTGCCTGCAGATACCAGAGCTACCCAAAAATGTCGCACCCCAAACGTGCACTCCACATGTTCTTCACACTTAGACAACAAATACATGATCTTTAAATCGAACCCGCCCTTCGTTGTTTCCTTAATCTCACCTTGCAAATTGAATTTGCAAACTTCAAATTTAAAAATCCTATAAAAGATGGTGGGAAAATGTTTACCTTTTATTTTTAGGCCATCTGACTATTCTATTGAAATAAGGTCATTCTGAAGTTTCTCCTTAAATTACTCAGGCTCATGATCACTGTGCCAGGACTTGAGTCTGCCGTGACACAAGGCATCACCCACCCCTGTTCCTGGGTAGCCCCAGCGTGCACTCCAACCCAAGGTCCTAGTGTGGGATGTACAGACGCTGGCAGGAAGAGGAGCACTATGGTGAGCACGTCAGCACAGGTTTCCTGGTTTCCATACATCCATCCTTCCACTTCTTACACACAGTGGACATGACACCATAAACATGAACAGGATTCAAACCCTAAAAGGGCTTAGGATGAAAACCTCGGGAATTTTCAGGCATGGACTGCCGTCCCAGTACAGAGGATCTATGGCCTGTCAGGAGCCCCAGGGTCAGCAGGCAGAGGTCCTGCCTCCTCCCTCGGGCTGGATTAATACAGGACAGCCTCCCCACAAGGACCCCAACTTCCTCCACACCTGCAGAGCCCTTTGCCAGCGAGGGCCCCAGGACCCAGGCATCTCTGTGGCCAGTCACAGGAGCCCTGGTTCAAACTTCAGGCTCCAGCCTGTTCCAGTTTGGATATGAGTTGTCCCCGAAAGCTCATGCTTGACAATGAAGGAGTGTTCAAGAGTAAGATGATTCGTGATTATGAGAGCTGTAATTAATCTACTTGATGGGTTAATAATCAAAATGGATCAATGTGGTAGCTATAGGAAAGCAGAGTGTGAGGCTGGGGGTGTGCCTTTGGGGTACAAACTTGTCCCCGGTACTCCCAGCTCTCTCTCTGGCTGCTTCCTGGCTGCCTTGAATGGATGGCACTCCTCCTCCATGCCCTCTGCCATGATGTCCTGCCTGGCCCTGGGCCCAGAGCCATGGAGTTGCCCACCATGGACTGAACCTCTGGAACTGTGGCCAAAATCAACCTTCCCTCCTCTAAGCTGTTCTGTAGGGTATTTTGGCCACAGCAACAAAATCTGAGGAAAACAGAAATCTAGCCCTGAAAACAGGGGCCACSATCTTAATTCAATCCCAGTTAGAACAGAAAGAGTCCTTAGGAATAATTCACTGAACAACAGGAATCACTAACATGTAAAGGGAGGCTAGCCAGAGATCCATTCCCATGGCTTCCCTGTGAGACCTCCGTGGGGTCCCCAGGAGACGGGGCTCCTCTGCCCTCACCTGAACCAGAACCCGCTGGAAGCCTGAGGAAGGGGCTGTGGGACACAGGTTCTGGAGGCAGACAATGCTAAGCTCCGGGCCTGCCCTCCTCCTAGTGCACGTTCTGCTGTATGCCACCCACCCTCAGTCCCCAGAACCCCTGAGGCTTCACATGTCACAAAACCTACTCTGATGMTCAGAGTCGGGCAGCACAAACACAGCTGTTGTTTGGTACCTTGGGTGCTACTGTGCGCCCTCAGCCTTTTGGCATTCCCCCATGAGAACATGACTGAGGGCACCCCATCCCCCAGCCAGGCAGGGCACCTGCTCTGTTTTGAGCCCAGGCTCAGGGACATGGATCCTGCCATGGGAAGCTCAGGCCACACAGAGAGGGGGCAAAGCTGGCAGGAAGTAAGACCTGAAACCATGACTCTTTGCTCACACTGAAGCTGGCCCCTAGGAAGCCCAGCCTTCCAGGCAAGGTGGGCAGCACCCTTGGCACGAGCCCCAGCACACCTGGCAGCCAATCACACCAGAGGGCAGAGAGTGGCTACTCAGGAGGGATGGCATTGATGGGGAGAAAGGACAGATACACACCAGAAAACAGATGGCCTTGGTGGCCATCTCTAGTTACGGTGACACTCATTGGTCTAGGACCTCCCTCAGAGTGGAAGGTGACCCACTTTCTACCAAGACTGAAACCAGCACCATTCACCTCACTCTAAAACAGACATCAGAGAAGGAGAAGGAAGGAGCTCACCAACGAGAAGAAATAATAATCAAAAATGAAAACGCCTGGCAGACTCCAACTTCCCAGCACCCCAAAACTAAATGACTCTGGGGAAAATCATCTTGTAAGCAACCACTGAGATCACGCACCTACACAACCTCAGACAAACCACAGCAGGTGCTGTCTTCAGCTCAGTGACGGGAAAACCACATAAGGCCCTGCCCTCCTGCACACGAGAAGCCCACCAGCCGGCGACTGCAACRCAGAATGTCAGACTCAAGGAACTTCTTCAGGAGGAGGCAAACGCAGGAAGAAGTGCATTCTATTTTCTCAGCTAAGCTGTGTGAGCTGGACGTGAACCGGCCCTGCCCCAGTTAACACCAGTGTGCATCAATCCGGGTGAAGGAGCCTCCTGGTGAGAGCCAAAGGCTGTGGCCTCACACAGACAGCACCCAACATCAGAAACCCTGCCTCCCCAGGCCCGTCTTCTGTGACAGGACACAGTCATACTTCTGGCTCCCATACTGCACAGCCCCTRATGGCCACAGCAAAAAGGCCACCAAGAGAAGTTAATGCCTCACTGACCTCTAGTGAGGAGACCTACCTGGACCRTTTCCCTCTTACAGAGCAGTGCGGAGACACTGCTGTCCATCACAGATAGCAGCTATTTGGTGAAATGGAAGTTGCTGAGATAACACAGTGGCTTGTATTTCACCACGTGAGCAGGAGATGATTTTTTTATTGATTTAGTAAGAATTCATTTCCAGAGGCTGCCGAGCACCCACCTGCAAAGGAGCGGCGTTTCAGGTTCAGCTCGTTGGCCACCCGGACCTCGGTGCACAGCTTCAGCATCAGCAGCATGGTCAGGGTCATGACGATGCTCTGCCACAGCAGGGGGGACTCGAAGCGCCTTCCAAACCTGGCAGCAGAGACTACAGGTCAGGGAGGAGCTGCAGGCCAGGCCTGCCTCTCTCAGCCAGCGCCAGCAGGTAAGTGGGGACAGAGAGCCCCAGGGCCTTAGACACCCATGGCCCCTACGGCACTCGCGCCTGCTGCCCCCTCTTCCAGGCTCCATGTGAGATGGGCTGAGGTGGGGAGGGGCCTCGAGATCCAGGACAGACAGCCAGGGACCCTGAGCTCCATGCCCATGGGCCTCTCCACACACAATATTCTCCCCTCCAGGAAGTCTGGAGATCCCACCTGAACCTGGCACCATGAGGAAGGCCCTACCTCTCCATCCCAGTAAGTCCCAGATGCCAAGGCCTGTCATGCAGAGACCCCTGCCTCTACCAGGCCACAGAAGCCCTGCTTTCTGCCTGGGAGGCAGGTCACCAGAGCACCCAGAGTGTGCATGGAAGAGAAGGGACTCTCTCCAAACTCTAGCCTCTCCCACTAGAGGAGAAGGCAGCTAAGGGCTCTCCACCCCGGGCCTCCCGCACCATGCCACCCTCGCTCCCAGACTACCAGCCCAGTGCCAGCTCAGGTTCCTGCTGGTTTTCCACCAACACAGCCCACAAGCCCACGCCGGGCAGCAGCACAATCCAAGGCTGGGGTGACTGGGGTCTCCCTACACCACCAGAACACTGTGGAAAGTGACACGTAAGCCCCATCACCGTCGCCCTGGCTAGACCTGGGACTGTGGGCTTCAGAAGTCCCTACCCTCTCTGGGCACAGCTGCCCCCTGTAATCAAGTGACTGGGGAGGCTGAGGTAGGAGGATGGCAAGTCCAAGTCCTGCCTGGGCAACTCAGTAAGACCCTGTCTCAAAATAAAAAACAAAAAGGGCTGGGGATGTGGCTCAGTGCTACCACCCTGGGTTCAATCACCAGAGGAAGGCAGGTAGGAAAGAAAGCCTCCTGCCTCACCCTAACCTGACCACTCCAGCTAGAAATGGCCTCAGAGTTTGGCCTGATAGGCATTTCCCCTGAACTTGGGGTCAACACACCACACTGGATGTCTTGCCAACTCCCAGCCTCTCCTCAACACTGAAGTTCACACACCACAGCCCCAGCCCACAAGTCACCTCTGAGGCCAGCATGGGTACAGGCAGCTGGAGGGCCTGTTACTGCAGCTCCTGAGCAGCGCCCACAGGAAGTGGCCCGTCCTCAGCACAGGGCAAAACTGGCAGAGCGGCCACTACTCAGGCCCACACACCCAGAGCCTTGAGGACCTGGAGCCATGGCCAAACCTGCTCAGGAAATGCCTGCTACTGTGACAAGGAACATGCCAAAGTCACTCCATAAATTAAAATCAAAAAAAGCACTTTATAAAACTTGGTGGTCACACTCCTCCCAGCAACTGGTAAAAGACAAAACTGGATGTGGCCTGGTCTTCTAGCCTTGAAGAGTATATATGAGAGCTCTACACAGTCCAAGAGAAAAACAGTCCCCTTAACACAGAGAACAGATCCCCGATTCACCTGTGTGCTACCGTAAGTCAGCTTCTACAAGCCCAAACCTGGGAGCACAGTTCACTGCCAACCTGAAACCTAACACAGTAGGCCTCTCCAAGGCTCTGAACCATGGCAATCTTGCCCCTGCCCAGATCAGCAGGCCTAGCAGGTAATAAGTATGCCTGGGGGAGGAGGTGTATGTAGGGGGACAGATTATAGGCAGGCCACTGGGAAAGTCTCAGAGAGTCTCCTGTGGGGGCAGGCGGGGTGGGGGGGGGGCAAGATGGACTCCACAGAAAGTAGGAAGAGAGCAACCTAGGCACAGGGTACATGGGGGGCCAGGGCACAGACAGGCAGGCCAGTGCACCCCCAGGAAGTGTCATCAGAGCCCTCCCTGGGAGGCCACCAGGAAATACCAGTTGAGGAACTCAGAAGAGGCTGGAACAAGACAGGGTGTGGTGGGAGCCAGACCCAGGTCAGGAGGTCCAGCTGGAAACAGGCAGCTGCAACAGGGGTTTCTGAGTCACAGGCAAGGGCTGGTGCAGTGGACTTAGGCATGCTGCCCATGTGTGCCTGTAGTCATGTGCTGCAACAGCTAATGTCCCTGGGACCCTCCATCCCCAAACCTGTCTCTTCACCGGTGAAGTGTAGGGCATATCTAAGGTTGCGGGGGATACAGAGCCAACCACAGTCGCTCTCAGGCTGGCTCTCCACCAGCTACCTGGCTGTCCAACTTACCCCAAGGCAGTCAGGTGACGGAGTGGGAAGCCTCTAGGGGTCACTATGTAAGCCTGCAGCACAATAAAATGAATTCCTGAATCAAGTTCTCAACAGGGGCCCTTCAACAAATGGCCACTGTGACCAAAAGACTACTTCCATTTTATAGATGTTCAACAGAAACACAGCAACTAGAAAAACTGGAGAAAAAGCAGTTGAAGTCTGCACCCCCCCATACCATACCACAAATCAGATTTAACTGATGTCCACAGAGAAGATGGTCCAGCAGATCTCACCCAGGGCCAGAGAGAACAGAGCTRGACATACAGCTAGCTGACTACAGGTGAGTACAAACCAAGTAGGAGACAAAACATCAAAAAGCACACTTTCCACAAAAAAATACACAAAGGACAAAAGAAAAAGAAACCAAAGCTCAATATCATTAATCTTTTTAAAAATATTTGTTTTTATTTGCAGATGGACATAATATCTTCATTTATTTATTTTTATGTATTGCTGAGGAATAAACCCAGAGCCCCACATGCACGAGGCAGGTGCTGTACCACTGAGCCACAGCCACAGCCCAACATCATTAATTTTTAAAATAGAAAGGTGCTGGTCTTTACTTTTCAGGATTCATGAGTCTGGCTGGCAAGGTGTTCAACAGCTCCTGCTCTCCTGCCTGAGGATGTGAGTGAGCACAACATCTCTGAGGGCCAGTAGCCCTGTTCCTAGAGCCACTCTGAACACCCCATCCAAGTGGGCTCTGGTGGGGTGCAGGTGCCCATGCTGCCCCCAGGGGCACACAAAGTCCTGCAATCTATTCTACAGACAGCTTCTCCACCTCCCACAGTAATAGAAAAACTCAAGTGGAAAAAAAGTTAACAGCTACTCCTCAGTGCTGAAGATATCACTCAGTAGCATAATGTTACTGCATCTCAGATACAGTGTTTCCATCCTTACAACTAACCCTGCAAGAGACAGCAGAGGCTGAGCATGCGACCCGTGCCTCACAGATTCCATAATGAGATCACAAGGCTCTGGGACCCAGCCCACCTTGCCCATTCAGCCCCCAAGACCTATAAATGTGATCCAAATAATCACATGGCACTTCTGACTTCTGACACCACAAACACCAAATCCCACATTGACATTTCATAGAGTGTGATCTGCTGAATGCTAGTTTTGCAAAGTGACAAAAATTGTAAGAAATGAGGGCATGAGAGTTACATAAGTTTCAGAATCCTTGAGTTTACACTCAAATCAGCCCCTTCCTGCAGGACTGTAGAACAGCTCTCAATAGGGGTAGGACATATCAYAGGGGATCGGAGGTCTGAGGTCTAAATCCCAGCCAGCACTGTGAAATCCATGGAGCCTCCAGCTGTACCACCATCCTGGTATGTAGCAGGCTCCAGTTTCATCCACTCTGCCCCACCTACAGCCACTCTGAGTGTTCATGGGGRGTGGGGCACATATACACCTGCATGTGTGCATGGTGGTACATTTCAAGTATCACTCCTGCTAAAGCAAAAGCCCTGTGGCCCTGGCCATGCCTGACATCAGGGAAATCCTCAAAATCTGTAGGATCAGAGGTTGCTGGCCCRGAGCCTGGAAGGAGACATTCACAGGGCTGTGAGGGGCTCCAGGGATATAAGGATCAGCACATGGCCTTGGCCAGCAGGGTTTCCAAGGTCCTTCAGAAGCACTGGGGACATGTGGCAGACTATCCTCAGGCCCACTGTGCAAGGAGCAGGGAAGGGGCAGGCTAGGCTGCAGACCAGAGAAGGGCCATCACCCTCTGGGTCCTCCTCCCAGTCTTCTGGAACATGCTGGGGAGCCAGGGCCTATATGTGACCAGAGAAGCCTGAGTAGCCCAGGACAGCTCAGTATGTGTTTCTACAGAAAGGAACACCTGCAGACAAGCCTGGCACCCCCAGGAAGGTGGCCCTGTAACCCCTAGGGGAGCACTCAAGGGCCTCAGAGGCCCCAGCGCCAAGGCAAGGACACCAGTTCCTGTGTACTTCTCCCCTGGGAGCACTAGGGGCAGTCTCCAGGCAACACCAGGACACTGGCCTCACTTATGACTTCCCCACACCATATGCTCACATGTATTTTCTTTTTTAAATTCTGAACAACAGCATACTGATGGAAACACTCAAAGGGGCACTTTTTCCCATTCATCCATCAACTTCATGTGATTCTCCTCTATTCTGGAGAAAGACAAGCCTGCCCTCCTTCACAGTCTGGACACTGTGCCTGGGCTGCACTGAGAAGCCTGCCCGGGAGTGTGCCCCACTCTGTTCATGCTCCAGGTGAACGACATCATTGAACACAATTTTATCTCGGAAGCTATTTCCATTCAACCTGAGATAAGTCCACTTCAGGGCACCCAGTCCCATCACGGGGTACCTAGGGACCTCCACCCTCAGCCAAGGGACAAGGAGGAGGAAGGGAAAAATCTTCAAAACGTGGTCTTACAACTTTCTTCAGACAACAGTGAGAGCCTCCTCAGAAGTCTCCTGGCCCAGAGACAAAGCTCAAGGTATCCAACATTGCTGCAGTGRTCAAACCTTCCCACTCCACCAAATTCTTACATGATTCAACTCACTAGTTCGACTTCTAAAAATCCCAGACAGGGGCAAAACCCACTCCCAGGGCTATTCAGCATCTGGCCCAGGGCAGAGCAGAGAGAACCTGCAGCTCATGAGTTCAGGGAGTCTCACATTGGAATGTACACTTCAAACAGGGACATTTTACTTAGTGTGAATCATACCTCACTAAGGTTGGCTTGGTGCTACTGGTTGGATGCTACTTAGCAAAAGGCAGATACATGAWCACTCAAACTGCATCCAGAAAGTGGGGAACTGCCTGAGCCTTTCTTCTGGGCCCCTTCAGCTGACCACCCTCATGAAGACTTCCTATCAGCACAGAAGCCTTGGGACCAGTCAGAAGAAGGAAAAATGCCAGACCTCTTTAACCTTAGGATGAGGCTATGATAGCTCTCTCTTCATTTCCTCTGAAAATTCACCCTCCAAATTATGTCTGCTTTAGCAACTGTTAAACTAACCTCAACTTCCTCGCAGAACACAAATGAGAGTAAGAGGAAACTGGCTTGAGAGAAGCAAGAAGACAGTCTCCAACTGAGTACTATCCAGAAGGTSGGGCTTCCTTTCTAAGGAAAGCAAAACCACACCAGCTAAGAGTCCGCCAGGCAGAGGGCCCCTTCCCATCACTAGAATCAGTCCCAGGAAATGCTCACAAAGAGGAAGTATCAGATACAGACAAGCCACTCATCAGATAAAAAGGCAGATCTGGAGACTGTATTTGAGAGTATTCCACCTTCTCCAGAGAAATATTCTAAGAAGTTCAGTGACTGCGGAGGTCCCACACTAGCCAGCCGTAAAATGGGCGCCTGAGCCACCGGAAGGTGTGAATGGCCCTCTGAGGAAGTAGACACCTCCACCCTCGCCTCTCATCTGGAACAGACCCCCAAAGACAATGCCATCTCCCCAGGCACCCTCAGGTCAAGGCCCAGCTTACCAGAAGAGGATCCGTAAAATACTGGCCACCAGGAGCACCAGACACACGTGGGTGGAGAAGCCGTCGGCGTTCTGAGTCCTCCTGATGTCCCTGTACTGCGGGATGTACGGCACCACGCCCCCAAAAACCATGGCTGCGGCGGCCCCCCAGGAAACCAGCCGATGGAGCGGGACCAGAAGCCAATCCAAACCTTCTGCCTCCATCCCGGGCACCCGGCAGCCCTGCCGTCCGGCCGACGTCCACCTGGCACAAGCCCCAGCGCTCCCACAGCTCCAGAATCCGCACAGTGACGTTCACCTCTACATTGCAGCCGCTATCCTGCGCGATCCTCCACCAGCGGGGTCTGGCAATGGAGGACGAGAGTCAAGAACTCCTGGTAGAAGCTTGGCTCAGGCGCACCACTTCCCGCTGCCCAGCTGTTGGGCCTGTGGGGCAGTGAGGGCGGCGCTCCGGAGGCCGAAGCTGACGCTCGCACCAAGGGCACCTCAGGGCTKGCGGCAGGGGCAGGACCCCCTCCCGGGACGGGGGCGGCTCTGGGAGCAGGAGACGCGCGCCGGGCCTTCTCTCCAGCAGGCAGCTGGTAGGACGGAGAGCGCCTGGCCRGAGCGGGGAAGGGCGCAAGGCCGGGGAGCGGGGTGAAATGGGAAGAGGGTGCATGGCGGTGGGAGGAGGGCGCACGGCCTTGGGGTAGAGTAAGAGGAGGGTGCATGTGGGTGGGGAGGGCGGACGGCGGGAGGAAGGAGGTGTACATCCCGGGCGCAGTCACCACTGGGGCGACAGGGCCTGGGGAGCAAGTCAGCCGTGGGGGAGGGGCGGGCGCGCGCCCCGGCGGGGGGTTCGGGGCGCGGCGGAGGCCGTGATCGCGTGGCCGACCGGGTGTCCTCGGCCTCCCTAGGGCGTCTCAGAGCGCACCCTGAAAAGGACAGACGRCCGGGCGGCCCCGCGCCCAGATCCGCGCCCCGCGCCCCTTACCCGCGCTTGCCACGCCGGTCTGTCCGTCAGTCTGTCCGCGAGGGCGGGGAGCGCGCCCCTGCGACGTCACAATGGAAGGCCCCGCCCACTCCGGGCCCGCAGGAAGGCGGCGCGGGTCCTAGCGCTCGCCAGCCAGGGCGTGACGACGCCGAGGACCCGACCCCTGGCTCCGTGGGGGCGGGAAGGGGCGGTGGGCGTTTGGCTCCACCCCTCTAGGCAGCCTGGGTTAGGAAACACCTGGCTGGCTGGGCAAGTCTTCGGGTGCCCGAGTGAACCTGTTTCCATCAGCCCCGGCTCGCGAATGGGGTCGGTGTAGAYGCCGAGCGCTGCCACCTAGAGCCAAGGACGCAGTCCTGGGGAACCAGAGGGAGCCCTGGCCAGGGAAGTCCCGTCCTGGGGAATGTCGCCGGGCGCCCTGCGGGTAACAGAGGAGCCTGTGCGGGGCCGGCCACGCTGGTCCAGTTCGGAAGTTCACAGTCCTGGAGACCACTGAGCCCTGGAGGAGTCGCACAGGTCCCGGCGGGGTTGGGTTTCTCTCCAGGAAACGGAGCCCTGCCCCGTGCAGGGTCATAGACATTTCCTCCATTCCAGGGACAGCGGCCCAGGCGTCACCGTCACCGCGGCGGAAGCTTCCCGGCGCTCTTAGCTGCTGGGCGACTCCGGGGCTGGCATCAGCTGGCATAAGCACACCAGGGTGCCCAGTTTGTTGAGCCTCTCCTTCTGCCTTCGGTTGTATGTGGTCAATCCTCAGGATGCCCGTTGAAAGAAAAAGAACAAAGGAATTTCTGAGTGTGTCAGCTCGCCTGGGAGTGCTGGAGTCGAGCCCATCCCAAGACCTGCTAGRGACCCTGGGAGGCCAGCCTCCAGCGCAGAGAAGAGGACCACAGTCCCTTAGGAAACACACACACCACACCGGCTTTGCTGGAGGCCCTTCCTACAAAGGGGAGCATCGCAAAAGGGGCACTAAAATGGCAAGTGGGTGGGGGCCATGGCTCCAAGTGTGGCCAGTCTCCTCACCAGTTCACCCCTCTCCCAGATCTAGTTAGCCTGGCCTCCTGTTTCCCACTCTGCTGGCATGRTGGAAAATCGTGAGAATACTGATCTAAGAGCAGGAACACTGACCAGCAGCCTGACCCCAAAGACCTAAGTGAGTACATCTCTCACCTCTGTTGTAGTTTGGAACTCAAGTGTCCCCTAAAGGTCATGTGTTGGTGGCTGGGTCCCCCGCTGATGGAACTCTTGGGATGTGGTGGAACCAGAGGAGATGGGCCTGGTGAAAAGAAGTGAGGTCTCTGGGGATATGCCATGAGGTGGGCAGCTTTGCTCTACCACACACTCCCTGCCATGCTCTGCCTGGACACAGGCCGCAATGTTGGGACCTCCAATACCATGAGCCAAAATAAATCTTTCCTTCTTCTAAGTTTATACTCTCAGGTCTATTTTGTCACAGTGGCAGAAAGCTGATGAACACACCCTCCAACCTCCAAGGCTCAGAGACATTCTCTCTGAGCCAGCACTGTTCAGTGTCCAGCAGCAGAACCCACACCAGAACAGACAAAAAAGATTGTGGCAGGGTCAAGAGCAAAACTATCCCACCCTCCCCCACATGCTAAATCATCTAGAATGTTCCCATTCCTGACTCACAGGGGCATCTAGGGAGTCACAGCTGCACACCTTGTTGGTCCTGCTCTCTAAGAGGTCATGGACTCACTCAGGCAAGTTGGCTTTCTGCTCCTCAATGTTGCTGGGGATCCCTCCAGGACAGCCTTGCATTCTGGTCCTGGGCCACCCCCACAGGCAGAGGCAGACTGTTGTCTGCAGAGCTGGCTTCACATTTGCATGTCCCCTGCCTGGGATCCAAGCAGAAGGATGTCCAGCTCACCACAGATGCTGCACCTGTACCTAACTCCCGCCTTCCCAAGGAAGCCGGCCACACTGTGTGGTGAAAAGTGACCTCAGAGATGTCCTGACTCCAACAGCCTGTGAGGGCYTCTGTACACAGAAAACACTCGTTTTTGTTTTTGTTTTGGGCAGATGCAATTAAAGATCTAGAGACAGGGAGATCATCCTGTGGCCCCAAATACAGTCTCATGTATCTCTGTAACAAGGAGGCAGGAAACTTGACCCAAGAAAAGAAGGCATGTAAAGATGGAGCAGATAGGTTTGAAACCCAGGCCTTGAAAGCTGAAGGGATGCAGCCACAGCCAGTGGACACCTGTGGCCAGCAGGTTTGGGATTCTCTCCAGGAGCCCATGGAGGTGTCTGGCCTGCCAACACTGTATTTCCACCCTGTAAAACGATTCAGACTTCCAGCCTCCAGAACTGGAAAGAACAAAGTTCTACTGTTAAAGCCTCCTGGGTTGTGGTCATTTGTTACAGGGGCCACTGCAACCTGACGCAGGACCCAGCAACAGGTAATGACCAGCCATTGGACCTGTGGCCTTGGAGAGGAAGCTGAGCTACTCCAAGCACTTCTGCCAGCTCTGTTGGGGAAAATCAAGTCACAAGGTTTGCCCTCCACCCCAGGAGACCCATTAAAGCCTGAATCCGACTGGGAGCCACTTCAGCAGGTGCCTAACAAACTCTACTTCTATAGGGGCAAATCCAAATCACCCTAGTCACCACAGCTGGGCCTTAGAGGCGACCTCYCTATTCCCCGCCCACCTTTCCCTCCAGGAAGATACAAAGGAGGGTGATTGGAGATGCCACCCCAGGACCAGGGTTAGGGCTCAGAAAAGGAATCCTGCTAGAGAGAATTTGTAGTGCAAAATGTGCGTTTGCTTGCAGGTGTTCTTTGTTCTTGTTTATGACTTTCTTCTCATCCTCTGCCCACCCTGTTCCCTCACTGTCATTGGTGTGAGCACACTGGCCTCCCAGAGGACACGCACCCCACCCCTTCCCTGCATCTGCTGGGTGGGCCTCAGCTCTCAGCCCATGCAGGGCTCCTGCAGCTTCCCTGTAGGAGCCAGACATGGAAACTTTTCACCTAGAAAAGCAGCCTTTTCATTTTTTTCTCAGAGTTGGTGTTTGATTCCCAAACAATTCTGGGGCATGGTAGTTGGCCTGGAAAACACTTGGAGAGGCCTGGGACACAGCATCATCCTGCTGGGGAGCACCTTCACGAATTCAGGCGGTGTGAAAAGCCAACCAGCAGCTGCACATGGTAATTCCGTGTATATCACCTCTTTAAAGGGCCAAAACTTCAGAAATAGAGGAAAGATCAAGGATTTGCACTGGGGACAGCATGGGGGGGGTGGGCTGGATCCTGGGGGTGATGGAACAGCCCATCATGTACCTTGATGCACACAGGAACACCCAGGTAAAAGTGATCCAAATGCAGAAAGGGGGTGWGCTGTGCTGCTTACAACTGCATGTGGGTCTGTAGTTGCCTCAAGAGAACAGTCCAATGAGGCACTCAGTGAAAAGTGGCATAGTACTGAAATGTATCCAGTCAGACACCAGGTAGGTCCAGGTCAAGGCATGTGCCCTCTGCCCACGAGGGCTTTTGAGGAAACCCATACCTCTTTAAGGCTAAATTGACATCATTTCAAAATTCTTAATAATGTCCACCCACAAGAGCACCTGAGGATAAAACAGTGGCCACCTGGTGACCCTTGGGGTTACAGGTGAGTATCATGGACCATGGCTTCAGCCAGAGCAGCAGAGGTGTGAGCTCCAATGCCCTGGCTTGCAGAATTYATAATGAATATCCTCAGTCTACTTAGCAAATGCTTGAAACCCTACAGATCTCACCAAGATATGTGTCAAGTACTCTATGTGCCCCCAGCTTCACACCAGTCACCCCACCCCCACACCTCGGATGAAATCCAGGAGCCTCATTAGAGGGGCAGCACTGAGTCCTCTTCACAGGGAGGCTGACTGGCCAACTTCCACTCACTCATTCAGCAAATAAATTCYAGTATCTGCCATGTGTCAGCAGGCATTGTGCAAGGTGGATTTAGAGCTTCCCATATAAATTTTGGAGTCTGAGGCCCAAAACACCATGCTGAGCRACAGAACAGATGGAGGACAATGTACACATGCCCATGTCCACTCTGAAACCCAGTGTCAGGGCCACCCTGCACACGAGCTAGGCACACCCCGATTCCATGGCACAGGCAGGACCTGGGCAATAACCCCTCAAAATCGTGGGAGCCAAGGACAGCCCCGAGGCTTCTTTGTGGCCCAGTTTGATAGCCCAAAAAGTTACACAAAGGGGGGTCACAGATAACAACACTCTGAGGAGCATAACACAAGTTTACATTTTTGCTGGCCCCGGCATCAGAATTTATGGAGATCTTAGAGACTCAGAGAGGGTCATTGTCCAGCCAGGGAAGGCCAGAATTTATGAGGCTCACTAAGGTTTAGGAAAGGGTTGTTATCTGGTCAGGGAAAACCGGACCTGGGTGAGTTCAGGGCACGGGCAGGCATTCCAATCAGCTTTACAACATCAACTAATGGCCAGGCCATACAGACATCCTGATATTTTTACAGAAAACAGAAACGAATCCTTCATAACTTGTGACAAGCTGGCTTCTAATCTAATGAGATAACTAGGCTAGGTATATCAGTGTCATCTTGTGGCTTCTCAGATCCAGCAGCTGAGCCCTGGCCTGAGTCAGAGTGGGCCTCAGGCTGTGGACTATTGACAGTGCCCGCAACCTAGGGAGGCACACCCTTCTTTGTGTGTGTATTCAGGAGGCAGACAGGACTCAATATATCTTATTTCTCATCCTAAATAAACCACAGTAGCACACTGGCACCCATCTAAAGTCAAGAACACAAGGTCCTTTCTGCCATGTCCCCCTCTCCTGCTTTCCTAGATTTCTGTGCATTCAGAGCTTTAAGCCACATGAACCCCCTGGGGTCTGGGTGTTGAAAGCTACGCAGAAGCTGWCAGTGGCTGCTGCTGGACAGCCAGGTTTGGGAGCTACTGCCTGTAGTCTCAGGAGACAGCGCCTTAGAGGGGCTGCTGATTCCTGCAAAGACCCAATGTCACACTGGGGCTTCAACTGCACAGTAAATAATTAGTGGGATTCAAAATGTAGTTGATGAAAGTCACATTTAAAAAGTTAAAAGTTTAGATCATGAAAATATCATGACTATTTTATAATAAATAAAAATATAATGTATACGCAAATCTTTTCCCCAACAGAATTTTACAGAGATTTCACAAATGCACAACAATGGAAGAGCAGCACAAAGAGCCCGTGGTAACCACAGCTCAGCTGGCAGCACCTCCTCCCGCAGCCCAGAGGCTGCCCTTGAAACTGGCGCCATGCTAGATGGGAGGCCTGAGGACTGGGCCTTCCTCAGGCACTCACTCTCAGGAAAGCTGCTTCCTGCCTTCCAAACTTACCTTCTGCTCAGTGCTCTGCTTCTTAGGCCCAGTAATAGGAGCTTCACCCTTTATTCCCAATTGTCCTCACACCAGGGAATTGTGGCCTAATTTCTACATCCTCAGCACATTTTTATAAAATTTAATATTTAGTGTTGTATGTTTCCAGGGTCAATCATCATCCCAGCCAGGGCTCAGCAATCAATTTCTTGTTTGTTGATTCCCAAGCAGTTCTATATGCTTGCCTTAGGGCT